TGAATTTTGGGAAACTTTAACGGTGCTGCCAACTTTGGAAAAAATCATCCCAAGTTACTGTGTTGAATTGGCATTGTACAGAAATGGACAAGCATATTGGTCTAGAAATGTTAATTTATTTTTATTTTTTTCCATGTGTACAGGGTACACATCATACTAAATATGTAAGGTCATATCTACATGGGTTTGATTACAGAAACTAATAAAGTATTCTCTAAATAATGAAAAAAAGAATAAGATAAGACTATAAGAGCGAGAAGCAATTTAAATATGTTCAGGGACCATTTTCATCTCCAGAATTAAGGATTATTTTAATGTTACATCATTGCCTTTTCTCTTTTACTTTCCTTTTTAGTTTTATTTTAGGATTCCCTATTTTTAATGTTCATATAGAGATTTCTTTAACTGAAATACCGAATAGTTTCTCTGGTGTGAAAAACTATAATAGTACACAGGATCCTAATGAGATCATTAATAATGTGAAATAGGAAGTAAATGGCTAAAGGTGTAGGGAAAGTGGGAAGGGTGGAGGAAAGGTAATAAGGGAGAGGAAAAAAATATGAGAAACTGGAAAAATGGAAACAAAGTGTTTGTAAATGGGGAGGGGAGGAGGGGGTGAAGGGAGGGCAGGGACAAGGGGAAAAAATGAGAATCAAGACCTATTATGTAAAGGTACAGAATTCCAATGATGAATGTAATTGTATTGTATACCTAGATTGTACCAATAAACTCAATAAAAAGAAAAAGAAAAAAGAATTAAGTTTGGGAACCAAGGCACCATTTTATACCACACAAATATGTGTGTGTGTATGTACATATTTGACTGAATAAAAGCCTTAATATAATTAATTTTATGGATTATTGTACATCCACATGATATATTAGTCTACAAATAAAAAAGTATGAAAACATAATTTATTGACCTGGAACAATATTTGAGGATTCACATGAGGCAGAGTTAAGCAAGAAGGCAATATACAGTACATATTGTATAAAACAGAGAAAAGTAAACATAAACACATTTTCACATACAAATATTTGCATCTGTATGTCTGCAACAATATATGAAAATTGGTGACATTTCATTGTCTCTGAGGAGATCAGATGCCTGAGGGTTAAGGCATGAGGGAGAATTGTTATTATATCTCCCGTTCATAGTTCTTTGTCAATTCTGAACCATGTGAACATATTTACTCTTCAAAAACAGATTATTTTTAAAGGAAAAAATTGACAAGGGTAAAAATTAAACAAACAGAAAAACATTGGCAACATGCCAGACATAAAATCCCCACATCCCCAAGATACAAAGACACTGTGCAAATTAATTGAATAATGAGTGGTCAAAAAGGAAAAGGAGCGAAGGAGACGAAGAGGGGATTTGTTAATATTCTGAACAAATGCTAAGCACCCACTGGAATAAAGTAAGACAAGAATTCTGAATGTACAAACCTGTGGGAGACACAAAAAGTGTAAACATAAATTATGTAAATTCTATGTCAGAAGATGACAAGTGCTATGAAAAACATAGATTAAGAGAGATAGAAGTGCTGAGACAGTTGAGGGGGCAGGTTGCAATTTTGAAGGAAAAGTTTGGGGACTGACCTGGTAAGAAGCAGTGATTTTGAAATAAAGTCATGAAGTGGTTTGAGAGAGCTAGTCAGACAGATGTCGGGGGTAAAATCCCTCTGCCCAGTGCTTACTTAGCAGGGAGTGTTCTTGCCAAGGAGTCAGCGTGGCAGGAACTGAGTGACAGACAGTTCAGGAAAGTGTGGGAAGATGAGGACCAGGAAGTAAGGGGTGAGATTTTATTGATTTATTTATTTGCTTATATAGTGTATATTCATATTTTTACCAACTACAGTGTGGGGGATGCTGGAGATCGAAGCCTCATCTTTACCCATGTGAGGCAAGTGCTGTATCACTGAGCTGCACTCATGCCCCAGAAGCACGATATTTAGAGCTTTGTAGCTATGCTCAGGTGGATGAGCAGAGACAAGACC